CACACACACACACACACACACACACACACACACACACACACACACACGCACACACTTCAAACCCTGCCAGCAAACACTGAGGGCAGCGGCTGCCCAGCTGGCAACGCTCTGACTCCCTCATGGCACCTGAAATGTCGACTCAATTGCTTTGTCTGGGGGGAAAACCTTGTATCTCCATTAAGTGTGCTTTTCCAAAGCAGACACAGATTTATTCTCAGGTTGGAATAAAAGAAATGGACCTCGAGTCTTAAACGTTTCCCAGAGAATCAGGGAGGGATTTGGATCTCTTTTTCTTTTTTTTAAATACTGTAGAGGAAATCTGAAATTAAATTTGAGAACCAAGTTGTCCTTTAAGCGGTTTTTTTTAATAGCTTTTGCAAAATGGGCTCGTCAATGGTCTCCACAGAACATTTGTCTTTTATACCTTTGCGCTGTAGAACGTAGGTGTCATCTGCATAGAGACAGACAGTTCCACAGTCTGCCAAATGTTATCAAGATGGAGACAGGCTTTTCCAATAACTACAAATTTGAAAAATAGATTTTTGGATGGATTCTTTTTAATTTGTATGGATTGAGGGTTTATTGTCATCTGTGTTGTATCAGCTTGGACTTAGAAGAGAAAGCCTGCCTTATAAGAGTTTGAGAGATACCAGGCGCGAAGGGAGGGTCTAATAAAAGACATGATCAAATTGCATTATGGGAAGTGTTTTTTGTATGTCTCTTTGCTTCTCCTGTTTTTATGTTGTCCATTCTATAGACCGTATGTAAGAAGTGGACGTAGTAATCGTGACTCATTGGTTTGTGGACGTTTTGAAGCCTCGAGTTCGGTGATTTCGCCGTCGCCAACTTGGCTTTACAGGGAACAGGAAGTGACCATATCTGGACTGAGGAGGAGTGACGTAGAGACGTCGTATATGTCTCTGGTAGAGACCTGTCAATCACTGTGTAGCCCCGCCCTAAAGCATCCCCTGCTTTATGGTCTGTTTGACTCTAAATGGACCATAATGTACTAAATGAACATCATGCTGTATTGAAGAAGACTTGAAACTAGAGATTGAGA